TTAAACTCCTAGGCCAGCGGGCAGCTTGGATAAGCTTTGAATGTACCCATGGACTTTGTGACCGAATCAGCTCAAGGATATTATAATGGGCTGCCCACATACCTCAAGCCAGGGTCCCACAACGATGGTTTCTCCCACTAATTCCAGAAGATGATGGTAAAATCGGCTAGATACGACCACAAAAATTATCGGGTTGTACAGTGGCCACCTATGCAGCGCGAGCGCTGAACGTCGGTCATAGTTGAGAACTCTACAAAATTATTCGCCAAGTTAGTTGAGGGCCGTAGGCTTTGAGGAACTGTTAGCGATGTGGTCGACGGCTACGTTACTGACAACTTGGTCAAGGTAGAGATCTGGCGTGGTCACTTCGAATATAGCAACTCCGATGGCCAATTCACCACTCTCCTCTCTCTCCAGTGTAACGGAGTTTTATCATTCCCCAGCCTATGCAGTGTCACGTGAGCCCGCTTTACAAGGATTTAATACTGAGGCTGTTCAATAAGGGAGAATTCGAACAAAAAGGTATTTTGTTCGACAATGGCAGCCTGGCGCCATGTGGCGCTTAAGTTAACACGGAAAGATGAACTAGGCTATGCTTGAATTTGTCGTCCAGATGTGAGATCAGACAAAATTCGACAGATTTTTGCCATTGCCATTTTCATGCGATTCATGAGCCAAAGTGAATCCAGAACAATTCAACCAAACCGGGTTTCAGCATTAAATTGAATAAATTGAGCAGATAATCACACTGTGGGGTACTCTTGAATTTTGTCACCGCTACTAGGAAAAAATATCTGTTTCCTTTTTAGGTTACGTCGTAGCATTCGAAGTTGCCTCCTGTACCTGTGGGGTTAGACAGTATGCATGCCAAAATCGTCATGAGCAAGGCTACTACCGGTCCACCATTGCGTGAGTTATCGTTCACAACAATCTCTCCGAGTTGGTCGATGTTCGGTACGGTGTTTGAAAAGACTATATGTCATCGCCCATCCTGCAAAACTACGCTATTTGGCCCTACCGTTCCAACGGTGTCAGACTTGCACCCAATCACAAACTGAGTAATCTCAACTGCACTGAAATTATCGTCTGGTAGTCTATAAGCCTCGATAACCTACACATCGTGTGTGCCGGGTATTGGTTCAAGTAGTCCTCGTTTAGGGTTGTGAATACTTAACATGCAGATGAAACACGGGTGAAAACTGCAAATAATCCTTCGAATGAGGTCCACTGATTGTCTAGAATGACTATTATCCAAGAACAGATCACAGAGTTGGTTTTGGTATATTCTTTGCCGTTTAACCTACGGGGTTAGTGATACTTCCTCAAGTCAAGTGCCGTTACTCCCTTACTCTCGTCAAGGTATCCCGGTTGTCTAATGTTAGTGGTATTCCGCATCAAATTTTAAACAAAAACTGCTATCACGCATACAGCCAATACGGCTTGTGAAGCAGGCTACGTCGTGAGAACGGTGCTAATTAGATGGGTTTAGGGTTTATACACAATTTGGCAGTCTGC